AAAACCCTGTCTCTACTAAAAATATAAAATTAGCCGGGCATGGTGGCACGTGCATGTAGTCCCAGCTACAGGATGAGCCACGAGAATCACTTGAACCCAGGAGATGGAGATTACAGTGAGCCGAGATCATGCCACTGCACTCCAGCCTGGGTTCTCAGTGATATGTCAAAGTTGAGAATTTATAACATTCAGCAGAGCTTCATTAAACACGCTGAATAAATAATCTCATTTGCTGTAGGAATAAGGCCAAAGGGTAAAATAGATAAGAATTTAGTAACCTGGAAGTAATCCTTCTGACCCATACTTTTCATTATATACATCTATAAAAGGAGTCTGAGTGGCTAGATGTTCATCCCTAGAAAGAGGCCTAGTTTCACTTTATTTATTTATTTATTTATTTTTTATCTATTTGAGGCAGGGTCTCATTCTATCACCCAGGCTGGAGTGCAGTGGTGTGATCTCAGCTCACTGCAGCCTCCACCCGTAGGGCTCATGGGATCCTCCCCCCTCAGCTGCCTGAGTGGCTAGGATTACAGGGACCTGCCACCACACCCAGATAAATTTGCATTTTTTTGTAGAGATAGGGTCTCCCTGTGTTGGCCCCGATTGGTATCAAACTCTTGGGTGCAAGCGATCTGCCCACCTCGGCCTCCTAAAGTGCTGGGATTTCAGGCATGAGCCACCATACCCAGCCTGGTTTCACTATCTTTTGAGAGCATGTTAACATCCATATTATTGTATTCTTATAAATAATCTCTGAGGTGTATAGGGGCATATATTAACCTGATTAAAAAGAGAAGGAACTGGCCAGACGTGGTGGCTCATGCCTGTAATCTCAGCACTTTGGGAGCTGAGGCAGGCAGATCACATGAGGTCAGGAGTTCGAGACCAGTCTGGCCAACATGGCAAAACCCCGTCTCTACTGGAAACACAAAAATAGTTGGGTGTGGTGGCGTGTACCTGTAATCCCAGCTACTTGGGAGGCTGAGGCAGGAGAATCACTTGAACCCAGGAGGCAGAGGCTGCAGTGAATGGAGATCCCACCACTGCACTCCAGCCTGGGTGACAGAGTGAGACTCCATCTCGAAAGAGAGAAAGAGAGAGAGAAAAGGAAGGAAGGAAGGAGAGAAGGAAAGAAGGAAGGAAGGAAGGAGAGAAGGAAGGAGGGAAGGAAGGAGAGAAAGGAGGAAAGAAGGGAGGGAGGGAGGGAGGGAAAGAAAGAAGGAAAGAAGGAAAGAAGGAAAGAAAGAAAACCAACAAGAAAGCAAGCAAGCAAGCAAGCAAGCAAGCAAGAAATGCCCAGCACAGGAATATTAAAAACAGGGAGTCTGGCTACTTAAGGGCACGTTCATTTATTAGCTGGGTAGCAAGTTATCAAAGCTCTTGAAGCTTCAGTTAACTTACCTGTAGATTGGGGATACTATTAGTTATTAGTACTCCACTGGGTTGTTGTGAGATTAAGTAGACTGGTTTACCAGTACAGTACTATCAGAGTAGTGCCTGTCACATAGGAAGCATTAAGAAAGAATCTGTTGTCACTTGGGACAGCAAATTCAGTTGGTCATATTTGGAGACAGAAAACTATCCTGCCCTTTATGGATAAATTCTCCTTTTTGAGGGGGTTTATTTTCATTTCCAAATCCTAGAAACCCACCTAGCCTGACTTTTTATTACTAAAGGAGTTCCGCCAACTCTCTCACTGTAATCTAAGGCCAAATTAATTCCCCCTGTACTGTGTTCTTTCTTATTCTTTTTAAATATTACCAGGGACACATTTATCTGTCTGTGCAGCCCCAACTTAATTTCAGTCTTGAGGACTATGCTATTTTTCCTTCTACTCCCAATCCCAACACACGCAGGAAAAGCATGCTACAGTGGGCTTAGCAGAATTTAGGGGAAAGCTTAACGTTTGATAGAAGAGCTCTGCTGTTTTTTGTTTTTTTTTTTTTTTTTACTAGACTTCTCCATATCACATTCTAATCTAGGCTTAGGGCATTTCAAAATATAGCTGATTAAAATTAATATTGTACAACTAATAAAGTAGAAAAATTCCAGTTAAATTAGGTATCATTAACATGAAGTAACTTGCTTCAGTATTACCCTAAGGCACTAACTGGGTGAAATGAAATGGCATAAAGATTGCATCTCCAAATATCTCTACCCATCACAGTCCCAAGATATTCAATTATTAATTTTTTTCTCCAGGGATTCAAATATAAATGTACAGAAGTATAACATTATTATCTCAGTAAACCTCTCCATGGGGATCATGTTCTTTGGGCATACTACCAATGAGAAAAAAAAAGTAAAGTATTGAATTATATACTGAAAAAATCCTGAATGAAATTCATAAAAAAGAAGGCAACATTTCCACCATGAAGCAGACTTGTACTAGATTGGCATAGTAACTTTCAGATGGGGAGGGAGAGTAGTTTACCTATCTTTGGAATTTGAAGCTTTGATATTAGACAGTGTGGTACAGAGGATAGACCCGGACTAAGAGTTGGGAAACCTGAATTTAGGCACTGTTTTGTTATCAACTAGCCGAATGACTCAGATTAGATATTTAACTCCTTTGGACCTCAAGTCTCATATTTTTAAAACGAGGACATTGGATTTGATAATCACCAAGGTTCTTTTCCAGATCTAAAATTTCATATATAGTAAACATTCATTTTAAGGGGTATGGTTAACCAGTGCCTACTACAATATTTGAAAGCATTGTACTAGGTGCTAGGCAAATAAAAAAATAACTATAACAAGTTTCCTGATCTCAAAAGTTTATATGTTATGGATTATTTAAATGACCAGCTAATATTTGCAGAGCATTATGTAGTCATTTTACTATACTTCATAAAACATGGGGGCAGTGAGGCTCAGCCGACTAGGAATGAGCTTTGCCTGTTAATCGTTAGGCTGTAGCTGACTCATTATAAAGATCTGGGTAAATTACCTCTAAGTCTGTTTTTTACTTGAAAATAATCATACTGACTCAACTGAAAGCAATGTTGAGAAATAACAGGTTGTACATTCCATAAATTTTTATGGACACCATGTACATGCCAGGCCAGTGTTGGGAGCTGGGGCAAAGCAGCCAACCCATCCTTCATCTAGCTTAACTCTTATACACATTATTATAAAGTATGCTGCAAATAAATTAATACAGCAAATGGCTAGCTATAATCAATTGTGGGCTTATTGTAATTTAGAGGTGTCACGAAGGAAGCCCTTTTCTGTGCAAAATAACATGTGTCTCAGCCTTTGAAGTAACATAGTAAACGGTAAAAAAAAAAAACCCAAAAACCCATAAATATTACACATACAAAAGATTTGAAACTTATATAAGAAGACATATAATTTACTATTTCCTAGATGTAGATTAAGCTGAAACATAAATAGAAGAAAGAATGCAGAAGCAGCGTCTCTGCTCAGAGTAAGGGCGGACATTCTTACTGCTAGATCTGCCCAACAAGCAATCCGCTATCTCAAGAGTTCAGAGGTACCTATCCATCACTGTGGGGCCCCGCTGAGGCACTGTCGTGATAAAGGTGATCAATAAGGATGTTCTATGAGAGATTCTTGTCTTGAGAAGGAACCTGAAGTAAATAATAAATAACTTCAGGTACAGTTCTGAGATTCCATAAAGTGATTCATAAATGTTTGAATGATAAAAATATGATATAAATAAAATTATAAGGATGTAATGTATTAAAGAGAAATTAGAGATTAAGATGGAGGGAGCGTTTTAGCATGGGAGTGCTGTGGGACACAGAAACTGGTTTGTCTGAGCCCCTTCCAAATAGCATAACATCTGTGTCCTCATTTAAAATCTAAATTTCAGAGCCTCGAAACCCAAAAGCCTTGGCTGTAGAAATCTAAAACCAAAAAGACCATGCGTTCTGTTGCCTGTGATTTGTGGTGTTACCTACTCTTTGAGGCTCCCAGATGGGGCAGGGCCTTGGGATATGGGGATGCCTTGTAGGTATGTTGTTGTTGGAGTTGGTGGTGGGGATGGGGATGGAGGCAGGGTAGGGTAGGGGTGGGTTGGGGTGGGGGGAATCCTCCGTTAATATCTCGAAATATTATTCTGTTGCCATAACGCAGTGTGTTAAGTTAGTTTCAAGTATTGAAAAACCAGGGCAGAACTCATGGAAATGGTGCAAATTCATGACTTAGGGTCAGAAGAATTCACCAAAATTAACGTCTCTCTGTGCCAAATAATAGCCAGTTTCAATTTCTGGACGGCCTCTCCGCGTGAGTGACAGGTTTTCTTAGATGCCGCGGGGGGTCTTTCGCGGGCTGGTGGCCTGCCCCCCTGGACTCGTCCATGTGTCAGGCTGAGTCCGCAGCTCAGAGCGCGGCCCTGTATTTCTGTCTGATGTCTGGGGCATACAGATATGTGTGACGGACAACGCTCGTGGCATTCGAAGCCTCTTTAACAGACGTTTGTGACGAGAGGAAAGAATTGTGCGAACTCTGGGAAACAAGTGTGCGGACTCTGGAAAAGAAGAGGATTTCGAAAGTGGGAAGGGGATGGATCTTCGTAGGAGAAATGGAAATTTGCTCCTCACCAGAGGGTTTGCTGGAAATGAAGACGCGGCAATTCTTAATACAGTTTCCTGCAGTAGGAAACAGTGGGCAAGGGAAGTCCCAGTTCAAGTTCGGAGCGAAGTGGGCTCCTTCAAGGAGCCGCCCGGAGGCGTGGGACAAGTGGCGGGAGACCCGGCCGCGTCGCGCCGGGCGCTAGGGACGGACGCACTTCCCTACTTCCAGCAGCGGGTACGAGCAGCCCCAACTGCGCTGCCCTGCTCGATTCTTTGGGAAACACTTCGCGAGCTTTGTTTCAGAGGCCGACCCATCTTTCTTGGTGGGTCTGCAGTTCCACCAATCACGCCCGCCACTGGGCGGGGTTTCAGGGTCAAGGTGGACCAATTTTCCAGCATCGCCCCTACACGCGCTCTCGGACCCCTGGGGGTGACTGACAGCAGCCGGGCCCAACCCGCTGCTCCGGAGCGTGGCCTCCGCCTGGGGCGTTACGAAGACAAGGCCCCAGGACCAATCGTATTGGCCCGTGGGGGGCGGGGCCTCGCTGCGAGCTCCAGACCGGCGCTACCGGCACTCCTTTTGTCATATGAGAGACGCGGTGGGGCGGCCCCTCAGCCGCGGTTTAGCCAATGGAGAAGGCGAGATGGGCGGGCTGGGAGTGCCTGGCGGCGGGTCCTCAGCTGCGAGCCGAGGTGCAGTGAGCTGGTGGGGGGGACCGCGAGGCGAGCGCGGAATCCTGGGCGGCGAGCGGGGTGTGAGCTGCTTGAAAATGCACTCGGATGCCGCCGCTGTCAGTGAGTAGCGGAGAGCCAGCCAGCGGGCCGGGGCCGGGCGGCTACCAGCACTAGCCACTCGGCTCCCGCAGTCCCCGCCCCATGCCTCTGGTCCCGAAACGCGCCGGGAGCCCTTGCCCGGGAGCCACCCCTTCCCCTCCCCGGGCCGGGGCGGGCGGCGTGGGGCGGGGGCGGGCGTAGGGGGAAGGGGCCGGCTTGCGGGGAGGGCGGAGGTGGGGGGGGACTGGCTCTGTTTCAGTGTTGGGGGAAGGGAGGGCTGGATTTGCGATGAAGGGCCGAGACCCGAGTGTCCAGGGTGCATGGAGGTGGAGGCGGCGTTGGGCTCTAGCGGGCACGGCCGGGAGGGTGGCACCGGCGAGGAGAGGGAAGGACCGAGCGAGCGGGGCACAGGGGTGAGGATTTCCAAAGGCCTGAGCGGTGCGGGCGGCTCCGTGAGAAAGGCGGGTGAGTGAGAGGGGGGGCGCGGGGGCGGAGACAATTGGAAGAAGGGCTGGTTGGCGGGGGTAGGGGGAACAATGGGTTGGGGGAATGGGGGCAGCCACAGAGCGGGGCTGGAGGGCGGGCGAGGGGATGAGGGCTGATGTAACGGGAGAGCGAGGTGGTGGGAGGGACTGGGGTGTAATGGTAGTTGGGGAGTCCAGCGAGGCGGGAGGGGCGTTGGAAGGGCGGTGGGTAGCGGAGAGTGGTGGTAGGGGAAGATATTGAGGTAATGGGATGGGGCAAGTGTACAACGGTAGGGCGATTGGGAGGAAGAGGAGAAAAAGGTGGGGAGGATTTAGGGTGGCAGAGTGGGGGCAGGGGTAGAGAAATAAAGTGGGGGTGAGGAGCTAGTCGGGGAGGAAGAGGAGGTGGGGCGGAGTTGGCCAGAAGGAGGATTGTCATGTCCAGATTCGGTCCGGAGCCGGGCTAAGGGGGTGTCAGACTGTGCTTAGGGGAGGTGCTTCCTCTCCCCGTCGAGGCAGGGTCCCTTGGGTGCGGAGAGAGGAGGGGGCGGGGCTGAGGTGGAGGGAACGAGGTAAGAGCCCCAAGATTGGAACTGGCTGCGGTTCCCCCGGGGCGGCAGGAAGCGAGGTCGGCGCTGGCGCGGGCTCCGGCTGCAAGACTAGGAGGCGGGGCAGGGGTGCGGGCTGCGGGTTTTCCGCCGCAGGAGCCGGAGGGGTCGGGCCCTGAAGGCCAGGTCCGGGGCTTGGCGCGGGGGAGATGTCGGGGTCCCTGGCAGTCCGTGGGTTTGGTAGTCTGTGACGCAGTTGTCTAATTTCTGGCTATTAGGTGTGGGGGTTGGTACCATGGAACCCGCTTCCCTGGAGAGACGGCTGGGCCCTAGGCCGCGCGCCACGCCCTGGGGGCGCGACTTCTCCCAGGCGTGCTGGGAGGGCGCTTGAGGGGTTTCCTTTAGGGTTTGTCTCCAGTTAACGGGTGTGAAGGGGAAATGCGGCTCCGCGGAATTCTGGGACTTGTAGTCGCAGCCGCGCCGGACCGCGGTTGGGTTGGGTGCACGTGGGTAACTGTGGAAACGAGTCCCGGCCTGCAGCGCGCCCTCGGAGCCTCCCTGCTCGGCGAACTTGTGCTTTATTACCTGGCCAGCCCCTGCGCGCTTTCGGAAGGCGGTTGAGTTCCCAGAGACTGACCGGCTCCCCAGCCCTTCTCCCTTGCGAGAGGGAGAGCCCAAGCCAGGCGCAGCCCTCTCAGGCTTGGGTTCTTGATCCCCAAGTGAATTTCCCCCTGCATTTTGTTGGCCTCACTCGTGGAATAAATGCTTGGTCTTGAACCATCATGCGTACAGGTTGTGGGAAAACATTCAAGAAGCAATATAATGTAAAGCAACCTTTAGAATGGTGTATTATGGCATCCAGTGTATGTAAGCACTGGGTTCAAACACTGCCTTACATAAATATGAGAACACAGTGGAGGTACATGTAACCCTCAAAGATAATGTAGACTGTGTGTTGGTATTTCTTGGGGTGCTTGAAAAAATAACCCACTTGAAATGAATGATGGAGGTGGCTTAATGGAATTTAGGGTGGAAATATGAAGGTGAGCAAAGGTGATATGTGATGTCTTCAATTTTCGAAGTTGGAAAGCAAATGAGAATAGAAGAAAACTGTAAGAAGTGGAGAACCGTAAGACTTTTTTTTTTGTTTGCTTGCTTTGTTTTTAGCTGCAGGCTGCAATTCCTTCTCTCCTTAATATTAGAAACCTTCCTCTCCGTAGGTAGACTCCCTAAACATCACATCCTTCACCAGTTCCCTTTACTGTTTACAGGGAAGGCACTCCAGAATCTGTAATGTAAAAGGCTAAGATTTAATGCAGAGATGATAGATTTTTGTATGTAAAATATAAGGTATTATGAAACTATTGGCAACATGGTCATTAGAAGAATATTGTAATTTTTCTGATGATAAAAATATTACCAAGAAGTCCTAAGGTTTGTAAACCTTTTGGTGTGATTACAAATATACTGAACTTGGATACTTGATTGTTTGATGGTTCTTTTCATGATCAGTGAAAAAGATGGGCAGTGTGTGGTGTTCTTGTGGAGATCATTTATATCTATCTGTCGTATTTTACATAATCATGTGGTGAAATATCCAGGAAACTCTTGGTAATATATACATATGTACAAAAATATGCATTTAACTCTGGAATTTTTTCTTGCAGAGGGTAAAGTGATGAGATTGAAAAACATGCAAGAGCTATAATTGTCTTCAAAATGGTGTTTTTAAAGAAAATATGAAGCTAGTCATAGCTTTCTCTTTTTCTTTTGTTCTGTTATATCCCAAAGAGCAGGTGCTTTTTATACACATACAGCCCACCTCCATCCATTCCCCAAAGCCCTAGGCTCCTACACAGTATCACTGTACACTTTCTGCTCTGGTTTTTAGGTTCCTTTTTGATTTTTGGCCCTTGAGGAGGTCCTTTATTTTCTTGTGAACCTAGCTATTCATTTAAAAAGATGGTTCTTACACGTTACCTAGAATTTTTGACTGTTTTATATTAAGAAGAATTTTTAGGTAATCTTGTCTGTAACATTGCCAGAAAAGAAGGCCTGCCTCATTTTCTGTATCTTAGTGGACTTCTATTCATTTACTCTCTTCTTCCTCTGTTCTTAACCTCTTTGTACCCCTACTGACACTTAATCATATTTTTTCAAACTTTATCATTATCTCCTTTTCTGTTTTTATGTTAAGTTGCTCCCAGCAGCTCTTCTTGGCTTATTACCTTCTTCCTGGCTACATGTTTACATTATTATCTCAGTCATCATCTGCTAATTATAACTAATAATATGTAATAACCCTGCTAACTCAGCAGTATAAAGATCAACCTGTGAGAAACTGACCTCATGATGATCTCTTGTTGTATCAGTTAGGATGCCTTTGCCAATACAATGCTCAAATTAATGGCTTAAATAATAGGGCTTATTATCGTTCGGTAGCAAGAAACCTAGAAGTAGTTGATTCTAAAGCTGGTGCGATGGCTTAATAATGTCATTAATGATCTAGGCTCTTTGCATCTTTTTCTTCTTCTAAGTGTTTTAGCTTTTATTCCTCAGGCTCATTTGCCTCATGTTTGCAGTATGGTTGCTGTAGCACCAGACATCATGCCTGGATTGGAAAGCAGGGAAGGTGCATATTTCCTTATAACTCCCTATTAATGGAGAAGTCTTTTGCAGAAACTCACTTTGGAGAGTTCCATTTCAGTGTCATTGGATCGAAGTGATCTCATGCCACTGCTAGCTGTGAGGGAGGCTGAGGCAGTGAATGTCTGGTATTTTCCAGCATCTCTTGTAAGATACGGCCTTTCATCGGGTGGAAGAAGGGTGAGAAGAATGCGCTGGGTTGGCAGCTTGCAGGTTATATCCCTGAACCAGCTACTTCAGCCAGCTGTCTCTGGCTTGGTCTCAACCTTTATGTTGATTTAATTTCTGCCTTATTCTAAAAGAATTGGGGGTGACTTGCTAAATATAGATAAAATCCTGTCAAGAGAAGGAAAATTTATATATAGACTTATAAGGTACACAGAAACACTTGCGATGTGTTAGAAATATTTGGCACTGAGCTTCTTAATAGTCAAAACAAAGAAGAGAACAAAACTAATAAATTTTATTCATTTGGTAAATGAAACTGCAGTAATTTTAATAACCCACACTGAAATCCTGGACATTTCTTATCCTCTTCTTCCCTGGTCAGTGGCAAGGAGGGATTGCATCTCTTCCCATGCCCAGCCTCTCTTTCCCATACCTATTGCCATGGCCTTATGTCTGAGACAGCCTTTCTTACAGTGTTACAATAACCAGCAATACATTTTTCTCCCTGTTTTTTTTTTTTTTTTTAGAGGTGGGGTCTTGTTATGTTGCCTAGGCTGGACTCGAACTCTGGGCTCCAGGGGTCCTTCCACCTCAGTCTCTGAGTTGCTGAGACTATAGGTGCACACCACTGTACCCGGCTCCAGCTGCCCTCAGTGCTGCTGTTTTAGAATTTTTCTTTGCTGTGCTCCCTCTCTGGCAGACTCTCTCCTTCCATGGAATCTCTGAAGCAGTGCTTCCTTCTGTTACTCAGTTTTGTGTTACATAACAATAGCTGCTTGTTTACTTTTATTTACCCTCCCCAATTAGATTATTACCTTTTTGAGATCTGGGACCATGTCCTTACCTAGTATCCACTTTAGCATCTAGCATGATGCCTTGCATAGGTCCCCAAATATGTATTGAATTGAACTTAAATGATCAACTGTTGAATAACTTGTGCATTATCTAGGAAAAGTAATTCTTCCTGCTGCTGTTGTCTTTCATTATCTTTAGATTTTTCTTTAAGGAACACAAGCTTTCACCTATTCATTCTTTGCATTTTTTAGACAAAGTCAGTTGTATGCACACTAATATTTCTTTTTCAAATATATGCAAATATCAGTTTTAGAGAATGTGGCATGGAGAAATTGTCAAGGAGAGAGTAAAATGCTGGTAATGTGCTGAGGGAACAGAAGGAGCGTTTGTGAATGTGCAC